ATCTGCTATAGCCGTGGACATGTCGCCATCAGTACCTCCTGAAAGTCCTCTGGCGAGTTCCCTACTCGATAAACTCAAAAGTAAGTTTGACCCCACACTGGACGAGCGACAGAAACAGAACGTTCAAAATCTCCTTTACAAACACCGCGACGTATTTGATTTAGGGAGTCGCCTTCTCGGGCGAACCACCGCAACCACACCACATCGATACAGGGACTCGACCACCTCTACATTACCGTCCTTACCGAGTCTCTGCCTGTGAATGCCGCCTTATACAAACGGAAGTTGATAAGATGATGGCGCAAGATATCGTTCAACCATCCTCTAGCCCGTGGTCCTCCCCAGTTGTCCTTGTCAAAAAAAGCGGATGGGACGTGGCGATTCTGCATTGACCATCGTCGGCTCAACAAGATCACAAAAAGGGACGTATACCCACTGCCACGTATTGACGATACATTTGATTGTCTACACGGCGCCCAGTACGTTTCTTCCATCGATCTTCGCACCGGATATTGGCAGATCAACGGCGACGACTCAGATAGAGAAAGAACTGCGTCCATAACTCCAGACGGTCTTTACGAATTCAAAGTAATGCCGTTCGGTTTATGCAATGCCCCAGCGACTTTCGAACGCATGATGGACCGACTTTGCGAGGGCTCAAATGGACAACATGCCTATGCTACCTAGATGATGTAATAATTTCCTCCACAACAATTCCATTTCACCTAGAGGGACTCGATCAGGTACTCACTCTCTTCAAAAAGGCAAACCTTTAATTGAATTGTTCCAAATGCCTGTTTGGAAGCTCTCAAATTAAAGTGCTCGGTCACCTTGAGGACAAAAGCGACATCAGACCTGACCCCGACAAAACCAAAGCTGTTCAAGAATTCCCAACACCAGCCTCACCTAAATATGTCCGCAGTTTCCTCGGACTTTGTTCGTACTTTCGTCGATTTATTTGCCAGTTTGCTCACATTACGCGTCCTCGTACAAACTTTTTAAAGAAAAAACAATCATTTCTGTGGACTGCCGACCAACAGGCAGCTTTCGAAGCTTTGAAGACAGTTCTGACATCTTGCCTCATTTTAGGCCATTTTGATCACTCCGCTCCTACTGAGCTACGCACTGACGCCAGCGGCCACGGAATTGGAGCAATACTGGCCCAGCATCAACCAGACAAAGAACGTGTGGTTTCCTACGCCAGCCGACCACTTTCACCAGCTGAGCAAAACTACACCATCTCTGAACGTGAGTGTCTGGCTGTAATCTGGTCTATTACGAAGTTCCGCCCCTACCTCTTCGGACGCCCATTTTCTATCGTCGTGCACAGATCACCACGCACTCTGCTGGATCTCATCATTTAAAGATGCCGCCTTGGACGCTGGGCACTCCGTCTCCAGGAATATGACAATACGGTCATTCACAAATCAGAGAAACTTCACAAGGACGCCGACAGCCTTTTTTGGCACCCAGTAGACCCAGCGGACCCCACGCCTGATAGTGCGACACTCCCGCTTCTTTCCATATCCGCGATTCTTAACATCGCACGGGAACAGCGTCGTGATAGTACTCTCCAAACTATTATCAATCAGGTCACCGCCGGAACAAATCACTCATTTTCTAGTCTCTACAGAATTAATGACGGCATCCTCTATCGCCAAAAGTTTCGGCCAGACGGTGCTCCTTTACTTATCGTCATTCCTAAGCATCTTCAGACCACAGTGCTCGCCGAGCTGCATGACTCACCATGCTCGGGCCATTTAAGTGTCATTCGAACCTATGCCCTCGTCAAACAGCGATTCTACTGGGCAAACGTGTACCGCACAGTCAAACGGTATGTGTCCTCGTGTGACTTCTGCCAACATCGCAAAACGCCATCTACGTGGCCCTCGGGACTACTTCAGCCTTTGGCTCCTCTTGACCACCCGTTTCATCGAGTGGGAGTGGACGTTTTCGGCCCATTTCCTGAGTCCTGCACTAGCAAACGCTGGGTGGCGGTCAGGGTTGTAAAAGTTACTTCAAAAATGTACCTAAGATACAGTTACAGTTACTCATACGAAAATGTACCTAGGTGCGTATCTAGCTACTCGCTTAAAAATGTACCTAGGTACAGGCACAGTTACTTCAAAGGTACTTTTTATTTTCACGTCAAGTATTTTTCTCAAATTTGTCACATTAATATTGGAATTAAATCCTTTGTATATTGGGATGTACACAAAAACAAGTTTGATAAACGTGCTTTATTGGTGTCAATAGGAGAAATAAGGCAAAACGCTCTCACCAGAGCATTCGAAGACTTTGTCTTTTTCACTTGAGTGCTCGATTTGACCTCAGAATCAGGACTTCTTCGAAATGTTCATCCGACATCTTCGATCGCAGTTTGGTGGTAGCAATTGTTCCTCCTATGCTAAAAACGCGCTCCACCGCCGCACTGCTTGGAAGCCCTGTGTTGAGTTTTAAGAACACGCTTTTCAGCAGCGGCATGTGCTTGAAACAGTCCAGACTTCTTGCCGGAGCAAGTTTGGTGTACTGTACAGTCGGCGAGAAACAGCCACCGGAGGAGTCTCCAACTCGGTAGAAGTTGGCAAATGGCAAAACAGAGGGGCCCGGGGAGCCAATAAGGTCACTGGAGCGAGGCACGTGACGGCGCTGCACAGATGTCCACATCGGAGTTGAGTCCTGCACGTGCCTTACTCTCACGCTTCAATTGGCTCAGCGAGGACACAGCTTCCACTGTTTCCGACGTCCCGCTCAAACTCGCTTGTTGACGTGGCTTGCCCTTCAGCGCCAGCCCTGGCATCGAAGCCATCGGCGGGCCCTGAAGACGTTGGCCGCATGGAGAAACGAAGAGTCGAGTGCACACGCACCTAACCTTCGCAAAGCAACGACGCGCGAAAGTCTTCAATGTTTCACGTTTTTTCTTTCGTTTTTAGGAAGGAAGAAAATATTATAACGCGAGCGCGTTTAGGAGCTCGTGTCACAGAAAATCCGTTGGATGTCGGTGGCGTGACGGGAAAATCCTCAATGGTCAATAGGGTCGTGACGTCACAGCCACATGAAATGACTTCGCGTGGGAATTTCAAACAACCCACAACGCTCATGTGAAAGGTGACGTCACGCGTGGAATGAAGGTGGTTAAAGACATACGAATTAATGGTCGGCGCATGTTTCAAATGATCCCACTTGATAAACTAATTCATTTGCCTTAAAGAAAAATTTGAAGAATTTACGCAGGATCGCATCCACGACCCTTCGGTTGCGAGCCAGACATGCTACCGACTAGGCACGGAGGGCTTAGGAATGGCACTGTGATCCTGCCGTCATTAGAGTGCCTCGATGTCTGTCTGTGTCAGGGTAAAGGCATTATCGCATCGAGTGTTTTTAGCGCGTGCCGAGCAAACACATAAATAAACCTTGTGGGGTAAAATGGCATCAAAGCACTGGCAAAAGCTCCTATCGGTCGCGCTAGGAGTGTTGTATTATAAAGACTAGGTCGTTGTGTGACTCAAGAGCATGAGAAGCGGTTGAGAAGGCCATGCGAACGGGACCCGATAACCCTATCGCGTTCAACTCTTAAAGGCGAAGGTGAATCGTCCTCCCAGTTTTTTTTTCTTCACAAACATTTTCAGTTTTGTAAAGTGCAAAATTTGAGTTCGATTTATTGAGTGGAAACACCACGTAATGTAAAATTGCTTTACGACTGTAATTATAATTTATTTTCAGTTATATGTTACATTGTATTTTCTACGATTTTGACAAAGTGAATAGAAAAGTACCTGTAAAAAGTAACTTCACTTAGTTACAAGTTACTGGAAAATGTACCTAAGATACAGATACAGATACCGAGAAATGAAAGTATCTAGGTTTGTACCTCAGGTACAACAAAAGTGCCTAGATACCGATTTACAGTTACTTGTACCTAGGTACTTTACAACCCTGGTGGCGGTTGAAGTGTATAGATTATGCCATACGGTACGCGATTACAAGGTCCCTTTTCACTGGCACTCCTGCCGACGTCGCATATTTTCTCCTTGAAGATGTAATCCTCAGTCATGGTGCACCATGTGAACTCCTCTCCGACCGAGGTCGCCCCTTTATATCCAGAGTCGTCAGTGAAGTTTTACGGAACTGCTCCATTGTTCACAAACAGACAACGGCCTATCATTCCCAAACAAACGGCCTCGTTGAACGACTCAACAGAACGATCTCCGAGATGCTTTCAATGTGTATATCCTTCTTTCGCCTACAACTCCTCGCGCCACGACACAACAGGCTATTCGCCCTTCTATCTTCTATTCGGTCATGAACCATCCCTCATGCTTGATTTCCTGCTTCCATTGCAACATGACACTACGCTCACGGACCACCCGCTCGATGCCATGTGTCGTGCTGAGGATAGACGCCAATTAGCACGCTTTCGGACACTAGATTCGCAAAAGCGGCAATGTGTCCGCTATGATCACGGGCGCAACGTCGCCGTTAACTCTCCCGGAGATTTGGTGTTGCTCTGGACACCTCAGCGTCGCATCGGCCTCGCTCAAAAGCTCCTTCCGCGTCATCGCGGTCCATACAAAATAATTCATCAAACCTCCCACGTCAATTATGTTGTCGAGCCTTACGGACCTTGCCAAAATCAACGCCCTGAGCAACCTCAGACTGTTCATGCCCTACGGCTCAAGCCATACTACGCTCCTCAAAACGGCAAGACGCTGTTTCCCCGGCGGGTGAGTAATAATGCGAAGAGGAAAAAAAGCAGCTCGAGATTGGTGACCCAGGAAAACGAGGACGCTAGAGCAGCTCGCTTGGTTTTCTAAAGAACCCTTATTTTCCCGATGTCCCCTTCAATGAAAATTAAATCATCGCATAATCACCGTAACAACATATACGGGCTGGAGATAAGACACCGTTCGCGTGTTTCATATACGTTTGGTGAGCACTGCACAAGCAGTCGATTAAGCGCACTCAACACGCAGAATTTAAACTCCGAATCTCCTACTCACCCTCCTATTGGGCAAGGAAGCGAAGTCCTTGACGAGTACGAGCTTCACCAATTCCGGATCAGCCACGAAGAGCACGGGCTTCCCGCCCTCGTACGCTCTGAAAGTAAGACCGAAGTACCGGGTATCTCAGAGAAAAGAGAACCGTGTTTCTCGGCCCGTAGAAATAAACATATATGCATCGCAGAAAGCTCGAACTCCGGGAGAATGTGACGTTGGCGGTTGTGATAGATATTGAAATTTCGATAACATGACGTTGTCTGGATGAAAAGGTAGAATAGAAAGACGAAATTCCTCTATGAGCCGACGTCTTCCTAAAACCCGTGCCACACGGGCAACTCGAATGCCATTTACAACGAATGACATACGCCCCAAATGTCATTCGGCTGGTGCTACATGGCCTGCACGAATGGCATTCGCTGCAGATGTCATTTGCCACCGTAGGGGTTCGGCGGAACTCATTCGCATTCGGTCACAGGCCAAATATGTAGCCTCTACCCCAGGCACAAAGTAAAAAAACACCAATGTGATTACGTTAATCAAGGTATATTCGAACTAAAAGTTACTCATTTGTGTTTGTTTTTATGTATGGATTCTTTTATACTACATTTAAAGCGCGGCTTGTCACATAATTGCAAGCGGCTACTCTTTAACCCAGTAGACACAGCCACTTCGCCTGCGTCGGCATCTTTTTCGCGTTTCTTTTCTGTTTTGTTACGTTTTGCTCGAGCTTCCAAGTTTCTTCTGATGGAGCCGCTAGCGCCGTAAGCAACCAACGCGATCGGTGCACTGGGCGGTGCGCAGCGAAAGCAGCAGCCAGAGCCTCGGAGTTCGAGAGCAGCTGCACTTCGATTTCACGAACGCGAGAGGGAGCGTCCTCAGCTTCGGTTTCGAGCCTTTGCTGCTCGGCACGCTGCTTGGCGCGCAAATAAATGAGGGCGCTCGTTAATCGTCGCACCTGTTTACCGTCCTCCGGTGCAAGGACCGACACTCGCGACTGTACAGGTGCCATTTCCTTTCGCTTTGGTCAGCTTCTGTCTTTGGCTTTGGCTTATTGCCGCTAGAGCAACTAGAGCGTCACCAACAAATGAATTACAGCGGAAACGCAAAAAAAAAAAAAAAAGGAATCGACTGCAAAAATTTTTTTTTTAAACTGCCTATATACACTTTTTAAAGGTCATAACCTTGAACAAACAAATTTAGCCTACAAAAAACTTTACAATTAGTTTTCTTTAGAGAACAGGTACTATTATCATCATGCCGCAAAATGACATTCGAAATGTACGTGTATCACAGTAATCACGGGCTTGAAATGAATGTCATTTGGTGCCCGAATGAGATTCGCCCTGTATGGAATTTGCTATGTCCGTGTGGCACGAGTATGTGCCTATACTTTGCTTCAGCTTAAGCACAGACTCATCGGATGCTACAAGCGCGAGCATCGTGAGTATGTGACCCTGAACAGTGCTTGCACTACACGAGCGCGCGTGCTTGGCAGAGACACTGAAAGCCCGGAGCTCGCTCTTGTAGCTTCTGCATGCTACGTTCACACTTATTAGCGGCGAGATGTTTCGGTGGCGCCCCCGTTTGTTTACCTTTCGTGACGTCATTACCTTGTGAAGAACAAGTTCAATGGTGTCTGTAATGAGCACGGTGAAAGCCTGAAATCATAGCACTCTCAAAGTAACACTGCCCATACTGTCAAAATTGAAGTTCTTACATCGCTCTTATTTGCGTCGATTTGGTATCCTTTGCTGACGTCATAGTCAGCATTCGGCCAATTGTAGTGGGCCGATCACAGCGACGCTTTCGATCGCTCACGTCGCCAATAGGGAGTATTCACTCTCGGCCATAGTCGTGTGCACGAATGCTGAGCGCGTGCTGATGGCGAGCTTCCACAGTTCTTTTCCAACGTGCATTTCGCACCATCAAGAGTGCCGGTCTTAGCAGCCTATTGATGTGAGCTCGTTCTGAGCATGCGCTCTAAACAGCACCCACAAATATGGCGTCCAGTGAATACTCCCTATAGGGGCCATAAAACGAATTTGGGGTTGGGACGAATGATTTTCAATTGGGACTTTACTAATCGCATATCGTTTAGTTGGCCAAAAAAAAAAAAAAAAAGAGGCTAGAAAGTCAAAAGCCAGCTTTTCGGTACGAACATTTGAAAATATCGCTGACTATTTTGTACCTTTTTGCCTTCGAAAGCTCTCCGCCTTTTTCACTATGATACATCCGCGGTTCTAAAAGCGCGTTTCCGGCGCCAAACTGACGTCAGCAGAGCCCAGCTCACGCATTGGACACGAGAATTGCGTCATATGCGCTCGTCAACAATCGATCCGTCGACGAATATTTGGATTCGCGTTCGTGGCCAATGAGTGCCCTGACGGAACTTATTGTCACTGGGAAACGGCAATTTCTATGGTGTGCATAAAAAGCACGGTGGAAGCTAGGAGTCATCGCACCGGTGCCGAAGGAATGTCACGACCACGTGATTTCACAATTCGCATTTGAGTTGAGGATTAAAGCTAAGGCGCAAGAAGTAGGAAAAACGTTTCATGACCCCTTTAAAGGGAAACGGAGTGTAGTACGTATTGTCAAAATAAGAACTGACATTGTGGACACATGTGGCATCTATGCACCTTTCTATAAAAGCGTACGAGGGCGCGTTCATTGCTATGTTTGTGTGTTATGCACGTGTACTCGCTGGCCGGCCCAATATACCTATATATTGCTAAATTACCCAAGCATCAAGGGGAATGCAGGGACAAAAGGTTAGGGCGCGAACAAGGCAGTGAAGGTTTAACATTTCAGAAAAAACCCTATACTGGGGGGAAAGGGACAACACAACACAAAGTCTTAAACACAGCTGAAATTTATTGGACAGAATATCGTGGTCCTATAGGGTACAGGTGCCCCGAAAATTAAAAGGAAGAAATGTCCTCCCTCTCTTGTGCGTTTGGGGAGAAAGAAGTTCATCCTCTCCCCTTTTCCTTCTTTTTGGTTTTCGGGGCACCTGTACCCTATAAGATTACGATATTCTGTCCAATGAATTTCAGCTGCGTTTGATACTTAGTCTTTTGTTGTCCTTCCCTTCTCCCTTCCTCCCTCCCTCCCTCTTCCCCCCCCCCCCCCCCCCCCCCAAGTTTCAGGGTTTTGTATAAAATGTTAAAGAATGCAGGGACTGGTGTTCCACGCGCCGCACGTGCTGGCCTCAGAAGTGGTAACTTTTCTAAAGAAATTGCATCCTGCAGAACCGTTCGCCAAAGCTTTTTTTTTTGTTTTTGTTATTTGCTTGGAATTTTTTATACGGGGAAAGCGTGCGCGTGTGGCGCATGGAAAAGCAATCTCTGCATTCTCCTTGATGCTTGGGTAAAATAGCATAGGTTTATAGGCCTATTGCGTGTGAGTGCTGGCTAAACTGTAATTTAGCGCGTGTGGACTGCGATTTTTCTAAACAATGGATACGTGTTTATAGGGCAGCACAAGCTGATTTTCCGCTGTAAAATGAGCCGTAGAAATTGATGCCTGCCCATATAAAGCTCAAACTTTCACCGAATGTGCACTGAGGAGGTAAGTTTTACCGTGTGAAATTTCGAGGCCTTAGTTATTTTCTTGTTAAAAAAATATGGTCAACAGATTTGCCAAAGTCAACGGAGGCACGATCGCAGACGACCGAGTTAAACACGCTATTAACTTGTGGCGCCATCTCCCGATAGGTGCCGCGTAATAAACGACGCACTCAGTTGTCTGTTCGTTGCACCTATCGGTAGATGACGCAACAAGCTAATTGCTTTTAAAGCCCCTTCATGTTTCACTTCATGTTTCAAAAGTAGCGCAAGGTGCGTCGATGTACGAGGCACGAGGCACGTGCAGCCCTTGGGAAGATCATGGCGGCACAGCGCAGCACTGAGCTGGATTTCAAACGCCGTGAATTTCCCAGAAATGGCGCGCGGCACGTGCCTCGAGCCTGTCTACAACAACGAATGACACCACTTTTCCCAGGATAAAGGGGCTTTAATTGCTTTTAGGGTGCCTACATGTTTTTCTGTCTCAGTGTGAGGACATCCATTGTTGCCCTGAATGTACCAGCCCGTGACGCTCTGCCGCACTTGGTGCGTGACTTGGGCGGTAAAATGGCGTCTCCATGCATTAGTCAAAGCTACGCGCTCGAGCTGAGTGACACCAGATTGCGCGCACTTCAAAATGCATAAAAACAAAAGAATTGGCAGTAAAATGGCTGAGATGTCGCCACTCAAGCAAAAGCGCACATGTGTATGAAGGCACTCTAATTGCGTTGATAACTCGATGGTCTGCGAACGCGGCCGACGTTTACGTGGGCAAGTTTGTTGCTGCCGTTTCTTACAGGAAGAGGACTAAGCCAAATATTGTCTAGGCCTTGAAATTTCACACGGTAAAATTGACCAGTTCAGTGCACATTCGATGAAACTTCGAGCTTACTATGCACAGGCACTGATTTGACCGGCTCGTTTTACAGCGGAAGATCCGCTTGTGACATCGTATATATAAATAAAAAGGAAAACAAACACACACACACACACACACACACACACACAAACACACACACACACACACTTGGTATAGTCAACTACAGGTTACGAAAAGTTTTTGAGGGAAAAGAGCGCTAAGGAGGAGGAAGAAAACGGAATGCTGGAGAGGACAGGAGGGAACCTCCTTCTCTCTCCAGCGTTCGGTATGCTTCCTCCTCCCCAATTTTCCTTCCCCTCGAAAACTTTTAGTAACCTGTAACTAACTGCATTGCAAGAGAGAGAATTCTGTTTTGCTTTTTTTTGTTGATGGCGAGCTTAGGCGGATGTTGGCTCGTAAAGAAATTTCGTGTTTCTGATTTAACTTTTGATTCAGGTAACGTCATGTTTTCAACCGTTCGCGCTTCTAGCCTTACAAACTCGAGGAGTTCCAGCTTTCTATTATGCGTGGTTTATTTATGTGGGCCTAAAAGGCTCGGTTCTTCTTTCTCAAGGACACCCAATAGAAGAACGCAAACATTAGTGCTTAAAACTAAGGCAAGATAGACAAATACCTGCGAAAACTCACCCAAACAATCTCCCGTACTTGGTGTACCTATCAAGGTCCATTTGAAAAAAAGGCTGAAATAAACGGCCAATTAATGTTTGTATGCAGCTGCATACATCAGAGGTTCCAAATATTCGTAATCTTTATGCATTCCTATTTATGACAGTTGTGCCGTGCTCTAGACAGTTGTTGCGCGTTCTAATTTCAAGATATCTTCAGCTCACGATTTTTTTTTTATATATATCAAAATCATTTTGCCACAAAAAATGTTTTTTTTAAAATCTTTTGTGGTCCCATACGCATACAATTTATTTTTATTGGGAATTGACATTTTGTACGTGTATTATGAAAGGCAGCTAGCTATTCGATCCATAATATTAATAATTTATATGTAAGGTTTACGAATATAAATAGCAACAAGGGCTCGAGAAAACGATACACTTAAATATACTGCATGTGGTTATTGTCTTATGTATGATTGATGTCACCATGCCCTATTTCAGATGAATAAAAGAAGGGTAATGAAAACAAAACATGTGGCGAGAGGGTTGTCCTTATGTCAATAAATTTATTAATTCATTGTTCAATGCACCTGACAAAATAACATACAAACATATACTATTCGAAACGATACTCCAACACATGCACCTAGAGATTCAAGGCTACAATAATCTGTATTGCTATTTTTGTTTAACATATTAGGTTTTTTTTTTTCTCGCTATAAAAGTTATCCATCTGGTAAGTCTCTCCTCTATATTGCTCACGGAACCGGAAAAGTAAAAATAGTCTACATTCGAACTCTATTTACTTTCCGCACATTTAGAAGAACACGCTCACCTTGAACAACATTTGTTTTGCTGTGGCAAATATGAGTGAAAAGTCTTCATGGACGACATTCTGCTCTTTCCAGTAATTCCTGTATCGGGCTGCATACCTTAAAAAAAAAAAAAAGGTTCAAGGAAAAAAAGTAAACTCCTACACGTGCAAAATTGTTGTGTAAAATGTCCGAATCATAAACAATATACAACGTGAAGCAAAAGGATCGATGGCTGTTTGAAGGGATCGCATAAATCGGTTTTTGAAAGCAAGAGGCTAAAATTTTGTAGAGAGGTTGCCGAAAAACGTGCATTAGAGTTATACAAATTTCACCGAACTAACCTACTTGACAAAGAAACCTAAAAAAATGTTTTTTTTTGGTTCGTGTTTTTTAACAGACCTCCGTGTACAAAAAAAAAAAAAAAAAGAAAGCGCCTGATTTAAGACTCTGATCTCTAAACTTTTACTCAGTCAAGTTAGTTCAATTAAATTCTTAAATTCTCCTGAGCGGAGACGTTGAGTTAAATCCCGGTCCGACCGTGAGAGAGCAGTTGGAGGCTATTCTCCTAAGCCGGCAGGCTATGACGGCACGCCCGGCGTCTATGAAGTAAAAGCTAGAGCAATCAGCTGCTTCTGCTAACGAGCGTCTGACATCAATTGAGCAGAGAATGGAAGTGTTTTCTTCGTCCGCCCCAAAACTTGAACAGTGTGAAGCCACTATTTTAAGCTTGAAATGCCAGGTCGTGTCGTTATTAGAAAATGGCGACGATTTAAAGAATCGCAGCCGTCGTAATAATTTAATTGTCTATGGACTTAACAAGAAAGAAAATGAGACATGAACAACAATCAAAAAAGCTGTAATTGAGCATCTTTTTTTAATCAAAAATGGAAGTGAAAGTTGCAAGCCTCGAACCTATACAGAGACTTGGTAGAAAAATGGCAAGTAAGTCAGGACCAGTTATCATTAAATTGTTTGACTACAATGAAAAAATGTGGGAGTTGAAAACGCTCCCAAACTTAAGGGAGCTAGGATATCAGTATCTGCAGATTATTTTTGTCACATACACACGGTCCGAAATCAGCTGTGGCAGACTGTTAAAGATAACAGAACACCACACGACAAAATCTTTCTGCGCTATGATAAGCTTATCACAAACAACAAGGTCTACCTTGTTGTTTATGATACACATGGGACCAAAAAAACAACACCGGGGTTAAAGTTCCTACTGCACGCAAAGTTCAGTGACTAGTAAATTAACAGCCGCGTAAGGTTAAATTAAGAAATGTGAATGCAAGAAGCTTGGCGAGTGAGGTTGTAGATTTGGAGTAATATTGCTTGTTCTCTATCCTGACGTCATTATTGTTACAGAGACGTGGTTACTCCCAAATATTGCGAATTCAGAGCTATGCCCAGATGGTTATAACGTTATTAGAAAAGATAGGGCTTCTAGGTGAGTTTGCGTAGCCATTTTTCATAAAACATCTTTGCAGTGTACACCTGTCTGGACATAAATTAACCACGAAGGTTTACTGTGTAAAGGGGGGTATGAAGAATACATGTCGTTCATTGTAAGTGCTGTTTATAGAATACCAAATACACCTATTAATTTGATTAATGATCTCAACAACTACTTAATTCAATACATCTAACACTCCACTAATTTCTTTTTTAGGGGAGACTGTAATCTACCTTGTCTTTCTTGGGATACACTTATTGTCTCTAACCAGGATCGTGCAAATGGAGAAGCCCTGGTTGATCTAGTGAAAGATCAACCAGTGCTTCGTTTACTAAGCAGATGCTTAGTAAAACTTGCAGGGTTGGACAAAATGCTCGATGAAAGTATTTAAGTTAAGTTACTAAATACCTGCTTCATAAAGTATTTAAAATACTACTCAAGTTACTTTCACTGTAAAGTATCTTGGGTAGAGTACAAATATTTAGAAATGTAATTAGATTACTTTTAAAGATACTTCCGCATTGCTTAATTTGTATCGACGTCATTGACAACGACAATTATACAGCTGCGCAAATCTGGTTTACTAGAATGTTTTACTAACACAAAACTAAACAAAGCGGTGGAAAAAAAAAAACAACATCGTAGCGCTATTTTATGCAGCTCGATTATAAGGAGAAGGATATTGTCACGAATGACAAATGATGAGGCGGTGAAGAATTAAAAAACTAAACTTTTAATGGGGCGACCTTGTGCCCAAAACAAAATATATGAAAAAGGATAGCGTTGCACGCGTCGATATTGGCGAAATAGCTGGATCAAGGGCTGGGGCGAGTCTGACTCCTGACCGCCACGCGGAGAACCTTTTGTACCCGCGTGGGTTTCTGGAACATTCGGCGTAGAACGTTCGGCGTGTAGAACATTCTTAACTCAATCAGACGACAAGGTTCTTAACTTAAGAGAATGTAAAGTTGAAAGAATAAATAAAAGAGGTGTCCGCTCCCTGGAATCGAACCCGGAGCCTCCTCGCGAGAGCGAAGCGCGGCAACCATTCGGCCATGAGCTCGCTCGGTAACGCAATACTTCAATATGTGGAGAAGATCAGACCGTGGCGCCCAAGCGGTGAACTTTAGAACAACACGAATGGGGACAAAAAGTACAATGACTCAGAGCTCGGCTGACATGACTGAATGCGGCGTCAGCGTTCGGCTGGAGTTCGTCTTCTCGGTGAGTTCGAGGAGGGGCTCTTTTGTTACTACACCGGCCTGCATGAACAATGCAGCATGCACGGTGCCTAGTTCAGCACAAAAGCCGAAGTGGATCAAGCTCGCATTCCCTGATGACTGCTTTCGGGAGAGATCCGGCACTTAAAGGACCCATGAAACGAATTTTGGGCTGGAGTAAATAAATTTATATTGGGATTTTACTAATAGCACATCGTTCAGTAGGCCAAAAGAACAAAGGTAGAAAGTCAGAAGCCTGACTTTCGCTACGAAAATTTGCGAAACATAGCGCACTATTTCGTACCTCGCTCCCTTCGTAAACTCTCCGCCTTTTCACTGTGATACATCCGCGGACCCCGCAGCGCGTCACCGGGCTACTAGCCACCATAACCGGGCCCCCGCAGCGCGTCACCAGGGCCCAAGCGCACGTCACACGACACCGGACCTCACTTAATCCCTTTACCCCTAAGCTGACATTGCGGTGGAAGCTACGCGCTTGCCGGACCAATCAGCCGCCTCCCTTTCATCACCGGACCTCATTCTCTGTGGGTCGGTATGCGCGAGAGAGCGTGATCACGTGGAAAATGTGTGGCTGGCCCAACGAGCACGTAGCTTCCACAGCACTGTCAGCTTCGGGGTGAACGGGGTGGGGAAAGTAACTAGTCGGAATTTTGAGCGACGGGCTAATCTTCTAGGGGGACAATGGCTGTGTCCGGGCTACACAAGCGAGATTCCGAGCAAGAGGGGACTCCCCCCTTTCCGACTTATTGAACTGTTTGGTACAATGCGCGATTTATGAGTTGAGGAGGAAAGCTAAACAGAAAAAAGTTGAAAAAGCGTTTCATGACTCCTTTAACTTCACTTTGTTTATTGTTAGTATTTTTACATCACACTGTGCCCCGCGCTCTATTAAAGAAGATGACATGGACATTCCCGAAAGGCCCGTGGGCATGTGCACAGGCCTTGTGGTGGGTAAACACCGAGGTGTGGGGACAACAATCGGGACAACCAATAGTGCCATCGTTGAATATCACGTTCTGCGGCGCACCTTAGACGCATCGTTTAACTACAATCCGTATTTCCTATTAGCGGAGTTCACTATAAACAAACATGGGATACGGATATGAGTGGATGGATAACTAAAAGAACCCACATAATAGCCACGGCAGTGTTCTCACCTTCTTCAAGTAGGTTCTGTTCAGAAAGGCACTCAACTTTGGGGTACGCTTTGCTGGCATTTTGAGAGGTCATCCAGCTCTTAGCTCATTTCCTGTCCTCTTCTCTGCTTATCTATGCTCGTTTACAGTGTTCGCGATAGCAATAAGTGACGGACTGACGACAAAAAGAAAAAAGACACCAGAAAACCAGGATGTTTTGCCGTAGCTTGGTCAAATATACACGTTTGCAAGTCCGGTCTCAGGGCGCCGCCATCTTCCTCAGTGGGGTGTGCTCTTGGGCGCGGCCGTAATCCGATTACGACGCCTTAGCAAGGCTTCGTAATTGGATTATGACTCGCCCAAGCGCACCCCAGCCAAGCAAGATGGCAGCGCCCTGAAGCCGGACTTGCAAACGTGTATACAAGCGAAACATTTTTTTTTTTGTTTCGACTTTTTTTTTATTTTTTTTTTACTTTTTATTTTTTTATTGGTTATTTTTTTTAAACTCAAGTCTGTATTGTTGTTGTGGGTCGTTTTCTTGTCTGCGTTGCGCCTCAGTGTGGCAATCACACCTTCGTAAAACCACCCTTTGGGAAGGCAATGGGTAAACCTTCATTGTACGAACTTTGGGCTAAAATATGAGTCACAATCGACAAAAAAGCAATGCTTTCACAAACTCAGTAAACTCACCGTAGCTAATTGGAGTTAGGAACAGGATTTGGTTGCTCGAAAGAATGTTCATGCTTGTTCGTATGACGCCCACCCCATTTCATACCGAAAAACTCGGAAAATGACGGGATGAAAAAAATGTATTTGAGATATTGAGTACAAGATACCCAGAAATGTAATTAAAATAGAGTATCAAATACTCTCGACCAAAAGTATTTGCTAGATATCAAGATACTTCAAAAACTATTGGAAATACAGTATCTTGTGTAGAGTATTTGAGATAGGCCCATGTCTGAGTAAAAGCTACAGTCTCAGTGTGTGCGAAGGTATTCCCGATCATATTAGGGTGCTCGTGTCAATTTTTCTGAGCTATAGATTGAGAACTTCACCCGTTCTATTAAGAGTCCCAGATTTTATTAATGCTGACGACGTTGCTATTCTTGATTTTTTTGGAGTTGTCTTTTGATACGTTCGAGCACTTGTATATGGAATATGGTTCTAACAACGAAGCGTCGTGGTATTGCTTTAGCAAAATTGGAAACCAATGTATATTGAACTGTGTGCCTCATCGAGTGAAAAATAAAGACTACGGTTTATAATCCTTGAATTAACAGA